CTGTCAGCTATTTATCTAATCTCCCATAATTTATCTTTAACAAATGATATCAATGCCATGGGTGTATGAAGTTGGTGGGAGTATGAAGTTAATGAGAGTATGATCTGTATGATTTTAATGGAGGCATGAAAATAACAATAATATCTAATTACAAGATAATTAGAATTGTTTTTGTTTTTTGTTTGTTTGTTTTTGTTGTTTTTTTGTTTTTTTTTGTTTTTTTTTGGGGGGGGGGTCCATTTGATTGACCCTAATGGTCTTCGTAAATTTCTGGTGTTCGAAAAAGAATACCATTGTACGTGAAATCTACCCGTTATAGAAAATTAATTGTTTTGTGTGCTTTTTCGTTAGACAAGCAACCCCCGGAGGTGCGAGAGGGGTAAATTGGTTCTAAATCGGTTGCTTTCTGCAAAACCTAACTAGTCATTTGTGCAGAATTCGTTCAATTCCGATGCCAAGTCTCTTTTTTTTTAAAAAAAAAAACAAAAACACGCAGAGCTTTGTAGATTTCATGAGTTAGAACGTTAAAGGAGAAAGGGTGTGGGGTACGATAATATATGAACTCAACTAAGTAAGATGTAGTATGTAATACATGTCGACAAAGTAGGACAGTAAAGACTAGAATAATAAGCCGAATGGTCTTCCATGCATTCAAGATTGACACATGTATATTCAATCCTGATATCTACTAAACACTTAGTTGATCCTATTGCGGTGAGATTTAATAAATGTTAATACAAGAAAGGGCTATAAAGAGGTATAAAGGAAATAGCTAAACAAAGATAACCTTAAGACACGGTCGGCGTCGTATACTATAGAATACAGTTAAAGTTAATAGTATTTACGTTTCTGTAAAATATTATTCTGGTAGACATGAAGTCAATGGGGATGTTAAACGCATTTTTCCATCTTTTTGAGACTAGCACAATCAAATTATAATTTAGAACTATGATAGAGAATAGTTCTGTAAATTGTTTGCCAACTGCATATGGCTTTTAAGGTGTGCTTAGAATCACTGATTTCCTAATATAAGATGTGAAAGAAAAATTAACGATATTTTAGGTTGCCTTGACTTTTTTGTTCTATAAGGCAGGTTTCTCGTGTATACGTTTGTCTTAAATGCAGATATATATGTTATGTATAAATTTCATCTATATGGTAATTGTAGTATTGAACTTGTAACAGCTGTTTTGTCGTACATTTTCTTGATTTACTCCCGTCGTTACCATGGAAATATGAATGAAAACCTAAACTACTTTCTGACAGATATCGATAAAGTTTAAAGGTACTGCGAGGGTACAGTAGCACGAAAGAATACAGAAAAAACGTCTTCTAGACGCTTCATATAATAGTGGTGATCCATTTTACCAGAGGAATGCCTTTATTTTCCGACTTTTCAAACAAATTAGCCTATTAACGCAGATTATCTAGCAATGGAAATGGCAGTGGTGTCTTTTTTTTTTTTAAATTATCACCGTTCAGAGTCAGACGCTTTTGTTAGTGTTTAACGTCCGCTTCACCGCGCAGGGGTCTTTCCTGTGGGAGAAAACCGGAGTACCCGGAGTAAACCGGAGTAAACCTACGCGGTTGAAACCACAGCCGCAAGCCAGAGGTGACCGGCCAGCTAGAGGTCGAAGAGCGGCACTCCAGACCACTATCTTGGCCGTTGTTGTTGTTCTTAGCGTTTAACGTCCGCTTCCACCGAAGGTGATATCGCAGACAAGTTCATTTTAATGATCTTAGCGCACGCGCAGGGGTCTTTGCTGTGGGAGGAAACTGGAGTACCCGGAGTAAACCCACGAGGTTGAGAAGGCGCCCCTATCTCCAAGCCACATACGCTCACACCTGGGATCGAAACCACAGCCGCAAGCCAGAGGTGACCGGCCAACTAGAGGTCGAAGCGTGACACTCTAGACCACTAGGCCATCCCAACCCCCACTATCTTGGCCGTCTGAACGGGTAGCCTTAAATACCCCGGGGCCAGATGGCTTTGAGCATGCGCAGTACGCAGTAATTAAGTTACATTCCTAGGGAAATGTCGGCGTCAGGCACTGTTATCGAAAGCGTGCGAGTACCGAATAAAGAATGTGAAGATACCCATGCGTAGTTAACTCTAACCCCGACCGAAGAGGTCAAAAAGTTAAACTGGTTTCACTTATAGTACGTGTGAACGCAACACGGTCCTTTCTTAAAAACCCCGGCGATTTTGAACTGGTTTAAAATTTAGCGTCAGAACGGTATATTAAGTCCATAACGCGCGCATCCTTTCCTAATTGCATTAGTGGGACCAGCGTCTTTTACACAAGATATCCCGTGTTCACGTTTGCCAGGTACAATATTATTCTTAATTAACCTTTCCAACAACCTTTGATCGAAACATAACTCTATACATGTAATATGATAAGTAAACCAGCGGCTGCCAGGCAGGATACGCCCACATTTTACAAGATATGGATAGAGAACAAGCTAAAAACAAAAACGGTTTTTTAAACAATCAGGGGTCATAATCCAGAAAGTTATGGTCTGAAATGCGCAAATATCAAAAGGGGCTGAGATTTTGGGGATATAAATATATTTTTTAAGTTTCATCAAAATCGGATAAAAATTGTGACCTCTAGAGGGTCCATAACCTTTGTATTATATACTAAAACACAATTTGCGTGTTATGATGGAATGGTGATATATCTAAACGGTTTTTAAAATCGGAAAATAAATTGTGACCTCTAGCGAATCCACACGCTAAAAACGCGATTTTCGTACAACCAGGGGCCATAATTCATGCGCGAATATCGAAAGGAAACAAGATATTTGGGTTATAAACATGCATTTCAAGTTTCATCAAAATCGGATCAAAATTGTGACCTCTAAAGTGTCCACAAGCTAAAAACGTGATTTTTCGTACAATCAGGGGTCATAATAATCAATGACGTTATGGTCCGATACATGCCAATATCGAAAGGAACCGGGATCTTTGGGAGATAGACCTATATTTCAAGTTTCGTCAAAATCGCATAAAAATTGTGACCTATAGAGTGCCCACAAACAAATTGTGGACGGAGGGACGGACGGACAGACAGGGGCGACGACAATATACGTCCACATTAGAATGTGGGCGTATAAAAATTACAAATCCTGGACCACCTCTATATGAAATATGGCAATAGGGCGTGTATTATGTTTATATATAGATGGAACCATCTTTATTGTTTACACAGATGTTGTTTATTTATGAACACCTTTATATATACCCTGTTCTATGCTCGCTAATATATCCACCGATAAAAAATATTTAAGACATGAAACAATATGAAAAACTAAGGTGACCCGAAAACTGGAATTTTATGTCACTTATGTCTGTCCACGATCGATTATTATTTTACTGGGATCAAACTATACTATTGTAATGCAGGGACGGGGGTGGGGGCTGAGCCTAGCCCCACGGGGACCTCCACTTTGACTCTAGGGGTTCCTTTTTGGGGTATATCCAGTTCACCCACCAATAACGATGTGAATTCAAAACTTTTTTAGCGGGCCCCGAGCTCACCTTGGATTGTGTACAGTATTACATAAGAACGCCCCATACCCCCCAGCCCCACCCCCATGACAAATTTCAGTGCTGGCTATTTTATTACTAGGATGTTTAAGAATGGATGCCAGTTTGTATTTATCGTTTATTTTTGTCCTGTACGACATACATGTAGCTTGTAGTATGTTAATATAACGTAATATAGCGTAAACGTCAAAGTGTGTTGAATTTTATCTTGATAGGAATGTTTCTACATGTGGTTAAGGCATGTACACCAAAGTCTTCACTGTCAAAATACGATTTTTTGGGCAAATTGTTTACAACTCACTTAATAGACGAATTCTTATCTCTGCTATTTATTTAGTTGTGCGTCAGTTATATGGCGATAAAACGGTCGATTCTGAGTCTTTTTGTGGTTCCTGTTCATTCAAAATGATGGAGAGCCAAAGAACTGATCATGTCAAAATGTTAACAGTCATGTCCAGACAAATTGCAGACGAAATAAAATATGTCATCCATTTTTGTCTCACCTTTTGGAAATTGAGTGTGTTGACTTTGTGTAAATAATGCCCTTTAAGATACTAAAGAACGATAAATCAACAAGATAAATTGAATGCATTTTTCACAGTTAAGGTATTTGAACTTTGACATACACTCCTTCGTATATCACATTCGCTTCTAGAATTTGTTTTCTAGTCGCGTGCTCTTCTGCTCGTTTCTTGCCAATAAGAAGACTATACAGGACTATACATACAGTATAAACGGTTGGGCAAAAGAGTGAATTCATTTCATTCATCATTTTTTGATCCGCCAAAAAGTTTATAAATGCCCAAGGTGAACATAATATGACAGTGAAATGAAAAACGAGAACATTGGGCAACATCTTCTTCCATAAAGTTTTTGTTTCGGCTTTTTGTTTTGTTGTGTTCCGTTTTGTTAATGAAAAATCAAATGTTTTTGGTGTAAGACTGTTGCTTTAAGCCTTTTAAAATGGCTGTCAGTCGTGTGTTTAAATTAAATATGACTGTGTTAATATCCGCGAGTGATTAATCATTTCGAAATTAGCTAATCAGGAAATATTGCCATGTCAACTGGCTATGATATGTTATACATATCGGTTAAAAGCGTAAACTTGCAAAGAGGTCAGTTGATCCTACGGACGTTAGTGAATAATTTCTTCCTGCATGTCCGCATTCTTAAACCAATACTGCTACACTATACGACTGCATTTATCTGATTTCTAATAGCATAAATAATATTATATTGGTGAGTCCAAATTTAGATCTTTATTTACAGACCTTCGTCTAATTCTATTGAACAAATATTGAACAACCTGCTGTTAAATAAAACACATATAGCTAAATGGGACTATGCTATGAACCGGTGTATTTGACTAAACGTGTGATTCTAAATTTCATTTATCTCTATGACTAAAAATGAACTTGTTATAAGTTTAAAAAATGAATTTACTTACAAATTTCATAGGCATTTTGACTGGTTTTATAGTATTTCCTTTACCGTTTAACCGAATAAATGTTTCTTGCAGCTTTACAAGGTTATGTTACGAATGAATCATTCGTCTATTTGTTAGTACACCGCCCAATATTTTTGCACACGGCCCTAATCCGGCGGCGAGGAAAGTGATCAGTCTGCAATATTTTGATACACTTTCCCATTAAACACATCACTCCACCCACACCGTTTCTTTGCAGGCAGAGAATAATATAACCGTATCGTAAAACAGTTTCAAAACTTCTTGTTGTTTGTATCGTCTTCAGATAGATAAAAAAAGATTTTATTGTATCACTATCACAACGCCAATTTCATGCCGCACACAATCCCTTGATATTGTTGGCTCATATTCTATTGTAAACAATGTAGATTAAAGATTAATTATGCTTTTTAATAAATCTGGCAAGACATGTTTCCAGCAATTGGGTAAAATATTTACCGCCACAAAAAAAAATGAAATTTTAATACAGAATTCTTTTTACACTTATTTAAAACCCAGTTACATGATATACGGTATACTCTTCAAAAAAAGTAGGGGATATTGAAATGCAAATACCTATGCAGATGGACACTTGACATGCTTTGAGCGTATGTTCACAGATGAAGAACTTATCGCCCCAACAGAACCACTGTGATGCATGTGCGACACGCAATAGCGCCATACACGTGTGTGTGGGTGTGTGTGTGTGTGTGTGGGGGGTCATGGTTAAATTTGACACTTATATTTGATGAAAACTGCCGCTTGCATGCTGGTTTATCCTATACGTGTTTGCTTTCCTATCGGTTCTGGCATGAGATTTACTGTTTAGCGTATCTTTTCTTTAGTGTGTTTCGTTTAATTTGATCGGGAGACGTGTATGTCGACGTCAACGTCAACCGACAACACTGCAAGAATTGGCCGTGGCACTGCAAGAGGAGTGGGTCAGATTGCCCCAAATCGTGATTGGACGGGTGATTAGGAGCATGCCACGACGAATTGCTGAATGTCTGAGGATTGGTGGAGCAATTACTCATTATTAAGACAAAAATTAAAAACGTCCATTTTCACTTTTGACAGTGTATCTCTTTGCGAGTGAAATGGGGCCGTCAGATAAGCCGCCCATATGAACTGTTTATGTTCATGTGTAGGCAATTGGCCTGTTATTAACATACACTGGTTACCTCTAATAAAAACAGGAGTGCATTTCCGAAGTTTTGTATCGTTTCTGAATATCCCCTACTTTTTCTGAAGAGTATATATATATATCCAGTCCTGGAAACACGCTGACCAGAGTAAGACTATCCAGCATCTAAATGGACATATGAAATCAAATTCAAAACATGATTTTTATTATAATATTAAGAATTCATATAACATGGAAAAATATTTATGTGCACTGATGAAAGGGGTGCCCTCAGTAGATTTAGACTTAGTGCACATAAACTGGAAGATGAAAAGGGAAGATACAGTAAACCCTTCATTCCACGAAATGAGAGATTATGTAAAAAAAACTGCAACCTTTAGAAGATGAAATACATTTCTTATTGTATTGTCCATTTTATGATAATTTGAGACAACAATATCTCTCAACATTTATCAAACCTCATATAACTGATTCAATTCATAAGGTCTGTCATTGAGTCATGCAACTGCTGTGGTTTCGATTCCCGGGTCGTGCGTGACAAGGAGTAAGTTTCGCTTGCCCAACCTCGTGCAGTGGTTTTCTCTGGGTCTTCCGGTTTACTCCAACTGTTAAAGACACCTACGCGCAAGCGAATTATTGAAATAAAACTGAACCATGTGTTAGTCCCGAAATGACCTAGTTTGTGTCGAGTGGACGTTAAACCCCATTTCTATCTCTCTCTCTCTTCTCCATACTCATGCTTGTACGGTTTATTCCCGCGAAGCCGCAGTTATTGACCGTAACGGATTAAAAAAGGTCGTTTTCGACGACTTCGCGGGAATCCAGCCCTAAGGATTAAAATGGATTAAAATGGATTTAAAACGTAACAATGGTGTTATAGATTGTTATGATAAGAATTTACACTTTCATAATCCCAACTGTAACTAATTAACCAACATTTTAGCATCAGATAAGAAATAAGTACCATTTTAGAATCATCTGTCCATTCTCCGCCACGAAGCTTACCCAGGTCTTCGTCAAACAAAGAAGGGGTTGGTTTTGTTGAAGCTCCGGGTAACCTATTTAGGCGTTTTCCGGTATTTAGGATGTTTTCCGGTATTTAGTGTTTTTCCGGTGTTTTCCGGTATTCAGTATAAAATGGTGTTTTCCGGTATATAGTATTGCCGATTTTTCGTTTACTTACACGGTACATATAACCACCTGAGCAAAGATATCGTCCTCCGCGATTTGTAGGTACAAATTTGCTGAATTCAAGTTGTGCGTTTGCCTTTGTAGAATATTATCTGATTTTCGGATAGTGTAACGGGATTTTATATCTTTAAAAATGACACTGATTGTGTTAGTGAGCGAATAGGTGAACACTCCTTGGGTGATTTGATGATATTCATCATTAGTTGTCAATTGGTGAATAAAATTCAGAGTGAACATAAATTCATAAAAACCTTTAACACCGTTAATTGGGTCCTAATAACAGCATGTCTCTCTTCAAACGAAAGCCGACACGTCGATATCTGCGCCTTCGCTGGAAGGATTAATTTTGGTCACGCTCTGTAACTGCGCCTTCGCGGGAATACACCGCTTGTACATGTAGTTGTGAATAAACTATTATCATACATGATATATTATATAATATTGGAAGTTTATATGGGAGTTAAAAATAACTGTGAAAACCAGTCAATTTGGGCTTAATTGATCGTCCTTTTTAGGTCAATATCAATGATTTATTTTGTAAATAATATTGTTGAGGATCCTTAAAGGGTAATAAATCTGAAATAAACCGATGTGTGATAAAATAAGAAAAGGGGACATTTAGCTTGTTATTGATAGTGAGAGTTATTTTTTACACCTGAATATTTGTTAAACTGTTAACGCGCACTAACTGAACTATAAAATACGTGTACTTTTATTCTTTGATTTTGTAGAATTCAATTTAGACCAATACGAAAAACAAAATGTTAAGTTAGAGTATGTATAGTACGTGAAACGGAGTATTTCCGAGTATGTTTATAATAGTGTATGATTCACAAAAAAAAGAAGTAAATTAGTCCCAAACAACTGGCGTTCACATTTACAATGTGAATGGGTATCTGAAGCATAACCAAAGGATATATGCGAGCTGTTGATTAGCCATCCAGAAGATATCTATCCCGCTCATATTCATATTATGAACTTTGATTTTGAATCTTCTGATGAAGACTAAGAATAAACTAATACCTAAACATGTCTCTAATTTACTGTGTGTTTTATGTACATTTCCAGATCTCTTGCAAAGTACCATTATAATTTAATATTATTATTTGGAATGACGAAATTGGTACTGAACGAAAAAGCAATCTTATTAAAATACAGATGTATATTTCGTTTCGTGTTCTTATACTTTCGATGGCCTACACTACATGAAGATCTGATCAGTTGTACAGGTCATACAAGCGGCTTTTGACCTTATAACGTCAGACATTGATTAATCAATCAACGTTGAAGTTTCTAGGGGTTTACCCACAGTTCCGTGTAGAGCACACCAAGAACTCGCCGTAACAGACAGTTTCATTGGCTAATTCATCACATCAACTAGACCGCCTGTTATATAACAACTTTTCCAGATCCTACTGTAGTAAAAACAAGTAAAACGATATTTTGAACTATAAAAAACAAAATGAAATAGCATCTGTGTTTTAATCAGATTCAACGAAAAAGCTAAAGAGTTGTCCAGGGTCATCACATAGGCGCACGAGCCAGGGGGGCAAGCTGACTTTTCGGGCAGACGGGTAAAGTGAAAACAAAAATTTATTTCATCTACTTGGCAAAATAAAGTGCCCGAAATCTAATAAAAACACTAATTTTACGGCCTGAAATAGCAGGAAAACGCGTTTGCGGCTGTCAAATATTCCAAAATTTTCTTGCGGGGTCCATACAGGGTCAGTTCCGCTTCTTCGCCTCTCGAAGAAAACCGGCGCCGCTGTCTGTAAACGCGAAATTTTTTCGGGCATTTCTAGTTTTGCTTCCCTTGCTGTTATCGAGCCCTAATATAACACTAATTTTACCTTTCTTTTAATTTAATGCCACGAATTTGTACAGAGTTGACTATGGATTAAAAAATGTTGCCTGGAGTCACTCTACTTTGTGCGACATTTTTCGGGCATCGATTATTATTTGTGAATGCAGCTGCAACAGTCTGATTGGATGGTTGGAATTCAGAGTGGGATTTTGGTTGCAAAACCATTGGATACTTTTGGAGTTTACACGTGCTAGAATAGCAGAAAACGCATTTGCGGTGGTTAAATTTTCAAAATTTTCTCCGGGAGGGTATACCCTCGAACCCGGCGACGATTGATTGGTTGTTTGGAATTCCGGTCAGCCGGGTAGACTATATTGGACCAAATTGAAGCTGCTGTATTCACAGGCTGGAATAGCAGGAAAACGCGTTTGTGGCAGTTAAATTTTTAAAATATTCTCCCAACGGTCCCGTTTTCGTGGATTGTAAACGATTGATTGGAATTCGGGTCAGCCACCTGAGGGGGGGGGGCAAGGTAAGCTCCGCTCTCTTCGCTTCTCAAGGAAGACAGGCGCTCTCTGTAAACCCGAAATTTTTTTCGGGCATATCGCGTTCTGCCATCGAGCCCGTACGCCTATGGGTCATCATATACACTTCTTTAGAGATGGACAGTCCTAGAAATTTATGTTTTATTAACATATAACATGATCATCATTTATATCAACATAACCTTGGTCTCATAAATTCACAGCTCGGGTGGCGACACCCCACCCCCACCTCTTCAGCCACCGGACTATGGTGATCGACTGATTGTGGCTGGTACCCATTTTTCTCTGATTTTGGTTTCGATTTTAAAAAGTTTGCAGTTTGCAACAATTTATAATCACAATTCCTGGGTAGCTCTGGACCCTCGGACCAACTAGTTTCGTTGGGCTCCCATCGATGAGAAGAATACGTGACATCACTGACATGACGATATAAAACGAAACTACTATAGTTTGATTCACTATTTGTGCAAATCTAATAGATTATTTTTCTCCTCGGATTGAACCCATATTATTTTTCAGTGGATACAAAGATAATTTTAGTAATTGAGTATGCTAAAGCAAAATACGTTCCCGTCGCCCGAGTTGCCATTTCTGATATTTTTTTTGTTGATTTTCTGTCATCAGTAACTTCCTTGGTTGTCTGCGATATCACCTCGGTGGAAGTGGACGTAAAATACAACTAACACACACACACTTCCTTGGTTCTGCTTAAAGTATAAACTTGTTAGACCTGTACCAGGGCTGGTGTCCCAATCTTAACCATCTTCTCGTTTTTTGGGGTTGGTGTCAGTTAACTCTTAAGAACAGAATCGAATGAAACTTTTGATGCTTGCTTTTCTTTGTTAGTAGGTCATTTAGTTCTTGATTGTTATGTTCCTGTTCAAATCTTAACCTTACTCATAATCCCTATTCCAAGTGTCAATAATTGTATGTCATCATGGCTCATACTCAAATCGATTCTACCATGTGCCACAGAACCAAATATTTCCCAAATATCTATTTTTGAACTGTTATAGTAAGAACATCTTTATCTAATTCTTACCTAATGCAACTAAATTTTGATTCATCATCCTGTGACACTTTCAGAAAAGAGATCTGAGGAATAACGCGAACAAAGGGCAATTTTACAATTTTATTTTATGATTCACAAGCTAATATAATTACACACATAATATAAATTACACACATGGTATAAATTTTTAAAAAATACACTCTTACTTGATGAATAGTAGAAGAAAACTTGTGGCTGTGGTGATTGTCGCGGGCCCTGCATAATATAATTGTTGATGAATTTAAGACAGTTGACAGAAAATGGTTTCTCCAAAGTGCTTTTGTTTCTATGGGTCCATGGCTAAGGGAGTGGGGGGGGGGGGGCTAGAGATGGGAGACTGCAGTTCATACCTTTGCAGGATCACAGTCTTCTTGTTTTGTAATAAATTCATCTAATGAAATAAAATTGGGGTTTAACATCCTTCTGTTCTGCATCAACATTGAAGATGGTCATATGCCATGCAGTAGGGTATGAGGCAAATTTGTCCCAGGCAGCACCATTTATGCCTACTCTTCATCAAATTTTAATTGTCATGTGTTCTTTTATGTATACACCAACATACGTTGATATCTGACCTCATTTTGACTTCCCATTTTAACAAAAAGACTGTTCCTTGGTAGAACCTATTTCCTGTAATACTGACTAGGTGAAACCAGGCTAGAAACTCCTAAAGAACTTATTTGGACAGCACTGAAATTGTACCCAGGGCTGAACAAGCACCTCATACACTGAGTCACCACAGACCAGACTTTAGAAGAGAGCACCAGATTAAGGCATTGGCTTTCAGACTGAAGCCCAGAGGATTGTGCCAGCACTCCAGCCTCTAGAGAATAAAGTTATTGAATTAATGACAACTGAATATATGAAATTATCTAAATATAAAAAGATGTAATTAATATACCTTATAAATGTTTGTAATAGACATACTTTAGTAGTGAATGAAAACTGAATATATCAAAGTACACATAATCTAATTTATCTATTTATAAAAAAATGTAATAAATATACTGTATAAATATTTGTAATAAATATATTTTATTAAATAGAAACACTGTACTGTGTACCAGTGCCTTTTAGTGGGTAAGAATTTTCTAGATTCATAGCATTCAAAGTGAAAGGTGGGGGGGGGGGGGGGCAATTTCTCAGAATGAATGAATGATATATAGATTGATATATAGTTCAACAAAGAGAATCAATGACTTTTGTTCAGGATTGAATTGATGAATTGTCCGACAAAGAATTAAGTCTGCCAATCAAGGCAGATTAAGTAGTTAATCAAGGTAGGTGTATTGACGGCATAAAACGATAAATACGTTGATCACTTAATTACCTAATCAATCCAGCCTATTATCAACGATAATCGGGTTGAGTGGTAGTTATGCACTCAGTATACTATATTAATTTTGGAATTTTGAATATTATTTACCATGTCTTGATGTCCCATTGGGCATATTCCTGGTCGGACAATTTAGGACGTTTGGAAAATAGCGTCGGACATGTCCGGGTCCGGAATATACGGGCAAAATCCCATCACTGGTTTAACATGCTACTTTTCTGCACCACAGGGGCTAATGAAGACAGACAGAGATAGAGAAATGGGGTTTAACGTCCACTCGACAAAAACTTGGTGATTTTGGGACTAAAATATGGTTTAATTTTATTTCAATAATTTTCGTGCACACAGGGGACTTTAGCAGTGGGAGGAAACCAGAGAACCCGGAGAAAACCCACGAGGTCGGATAGGTGACCCTACTCCTTGTCATGTACAACTGGGGAATCGAAACCACGCCAGTTGACTCAATGACAGACCTTATGTAACAGCAAGCACGTGCTAACCATTCGGCCATCTAACCCTCCTGAAGACAGACATCTAACATACATGTACAGAGTGCTATGAGGGAAATTTTACCCAGACAGCAATTGAATTCCAACTGTGAAGGGTTCTTATAAGTGCACGCCAATGGGACCTCAGTTTTTTTCCATCCAAATGACTAGACACTGTTCCTGGCTAGAACCTCTGTCCTGCATCACTGACAAGGGAAAACCATACCGGCAAACCCTGGCCAAATTTTCTCGGTCAACACCAGAAATTGCTCAGACATCTGGATTTTACAATCCAGAACTTAACTTACAATCCAGTACTCTTTTTCATAGGAAGTAATACAAATCTTATAGTAAATAAGTTATGACTACAAATGTAAAGATTCACTTTTAAACATCAATACCATGTAAAGCCTTATTTCAGATGCTAGAAAATCTCTTTTAACCATGGCATTGTTAAGATCTTTTCTCGGGATCCTCTGGTAGTCTGCTGCTCAGAGAACACTTGCAATTTTCTTCTTGGCAACAAGGAATACTGGAACCTGACCGATCATCATTTTCCACAGCTCCTTCCATGCGACCCAATGTACTTTTGAAAACACAATGAGGTTGTAACTGCTCTCTTGAATGTTCTGAAGTTATTAGGAACTGATTGGATAAAGATTTTTCACACAAATTATCAACATTTTCTGTCCCTTTCACTTCTCCAAATTTATCCAGTCTGTTATTTTGTATATTTGAATCACACTTTTTAAATGTTTTAAGTTGTTCATTTTGCCATCTTTCAATGTTGTGTTGATTTCTGTGGAATTTGTATTTGGTTTTATTATCACTATTTTCTTCCATCAAATCTTCCAGAGCACAATTGTCATGCCTCCCAGATAATTTTTCAGCAGGTTGAGATCCACAGGTAATTTGTTCTCCTACTAACCGAAGTTCGTGGGGTGGTTTAGGAGTCGACAGCTTGGTTAAGTCACACTGATATTGCATAAGCTTTAACTCAAACTTCTTTAAATCTGGTTGAATTTTTGGGTCTGCTTTAGTTTCATAACGTAAAGTTGGGTGCTTATCAATTTCTCTAACCTTCGGCTCCTCAAAGAGGTGATCATCACTATTAAGGCGGTGTATACACATGGTAGCAGTCTTTGGTTCTAACAAACCTAACTCTCTGGAATCATACCGACCTAATATGTCATTGTGGTTCATTTGAGATTTCGATTGTCCTTTATCTTTGTCACTGGATGATGCGTTTCGTAAGACTGTCGAGCTTATTAATTTCTCCTTGAATGATGCTTCGTTTTTGGCCTCTGATGTTGCATCTTTCCAGAATAACTCAGCATTATATCCCACAGCTTCTAAATCTTTACAAACAAAGCATACTTTGTGGACACTGTGTAGGAATGTGAAGTCTGGAGCAATATTTTTTTGTAGGTCACAGAGACTCTTTTTACAGCCTGTGGACAGAGTTTGGTAGTCTTCTCGAACATCTGCACTACACTCATTTAAATAACGATCCAGTTCTCTATCAAATTCTTTCAGTACCTCCATTAATAATTTCTTGTCAAATTGGACCAGCATTACCAAATGTCCTAACGTTAAAGAAAGATGAGGATCTTTTGGAGATTGATTAATGGAAATATCTCGGAATTCAATAACTTCTTTAAGACATGAACGGGCATCCTTGATATTTTTCAGAAGCACGTAACAATGACCAAGTACTAACCGGACATGAATGTGAACACTGTGATATTTAGTACACTTATTGTAAATCTGCAGAGCTTCGTTTAGTAGATTCAAGGCTCTCGGTAAATCACAGCTGAAAGAATAAACAAACATGAATACGTGGCAGGATGATTAAGACGGAGTAAGATACAAGGTAGCAGACATTCAAAATCATTGAAAAGTCAAAGTAAAACTTTTATATTTTGTATGTCAGAGTTTATAGGTGCCAATTAACAAGGTAGATCAGCTAAAATGGGATTCATGACAAATTTAACTGAACTTTAATTCATTTCACAGACCTCAAACATGGCCAGATTAAGCTTGCATGGGACCCCTATGTAAATATGTCACTCAACAACTGTCTGTCATACTCACACAAAATGCAATTTGTATGTCAGTATGCCCGCTTGGTTGCCTTACCATAGCTGTGAAACTTTTATTTCCCCCCACCCGCCACTCATCTATTGATTTATGGTACAAAATGTTCCACAGCAGCTACATGTAAGTCAAAAAGGGTTGTCACATATTTTTTTTAATTTTGATAATGAGTGTCCAATTTACAAGTATTTAATTTCCTGACCACTGTTCAAAAATTAACCATTATACATCATTAATCAATTGGGTTCTTTATATTTTAATAGTGATTGAGAAATTAAACACTTGTAAATTGGACACTCATTATCAAAATTGAATGGTCAGCTTTAAACCTGACAGAAGTACAAATTAAACGATTTATGGTGATTTTAAACAGTTTTTACGAATTTTTAAGCAAAGATTGGATATTAAACGAATGTGAAAGAAATTAGTGCTAGATACACAAGATTAAATGGTACCTGGTTTACAGTGAAATGTGTCACAGATAATTTATAAATTAAGCAGTTTACAAACTATAGCATCGCAGGAAAAACATGGCCATGCTAGATGCTTCAATCAGTTCTAATGACCACGAAAAAACTGATTTTGATTATCGCTGAATGAAATGAAATGAAATGAAATGGGGTTTAACGTCCTACTGTTCTGCTCCTAAACTGGGCTAATGAAGACGGTATCGCTGAATGATATTGACAGAATCCATATAAGCAACCATCTGGGCGACGCTTAGGATATTGCCAGAACAAGCGTAGACTACCTATCATGTAAGAAAATATCATTCTTCTCAATGAAATGAGGTTCAACATCCTATTTTTCTGCACCAACTGGGCTAATAAAGACAAGCATATGCCGCTATACAGTGTGCTATGTGTCCATTACACCTAGTCTTTATCAAATTCCAACTGTTATGGGTTCTTTAACATGCATGCCCATCTGTACATGGGATCTTATTTTCTGGTCCCATCTGAACATCTAGACACTGTTCCTTGCTAGGTCCATCATCCTGCACCACTAATAAGGGGAAATTATGATGGAAAATCCCGGGGAACTTCCTCTGGACCAACTGTTTATACAAGACATACTTACAGTAACATATTTACTCTTCCCATGTGCCACAGCGTTAAAGCCGTGTTAAAATCTAAATATCCCAGACGTTGACGAATTGAATAGGCTTCTTCTAAATATGTGAGACCTTGTCCTGTAAAAGTGATTTTACAACATAAGAACAGCAAATTTACAAAAATCAATAAAGTCTTTATCCTCTGCTGGGTACCTTATTGTTTTGGTTATACAAAAAGTGACTTTTTACTTGAGTTTTTCACCCTTCTTATACTTGAGTTTTTCGAAGGCATAGATAATTATCAATATACAGAGAGAGAGAGAGAGAAATGGGGTTTAATGTCCACTCGAAACAAACTAGGTCGTTTTGGGACTTACATATGGTTCCCTTTTTTTTCAATAATTCACTTGCGCGTAGTAGGGGTCTTTAGCAGTGGGAGGCGACCGGAGGATGAGGAGAAAACCCACGAGAAATGGAAACCACGCCAGACCCCCCAATTAACAATTCAGTACTCAAAATACCCACGTAAGACCTAATAATAACAAATAAATAATAAAAGATAGACAACGAAACATACACCCACCCACATCAGCTAAGTCGTCGAGGCAGTAACAAGAGTTGTCACATATTTTTTCTTTTGTCAGTAATGAAACATTTACAATACACTAAAATCTGATTAAGAGTAATAACCCTTTAAGTAATATTAGACCAATGCTAACGTTTAGCATACAAAACATTTAATATCAGATTTAGCTTTAGCCTCTAGAGAGTTCACAAGATTTTTCAAAGTAATCAAGGGCTATAACTCTGGAAGTAATTATCGGAAATCATTGAAAATGAACAGGATTCTATGTCTCATGACCTTAAACACTGTGTATAAGTTTAAAGGCAATCAGATATTAAAGTAGCCAAGTCTCTAACTCAGCATCATCCAAAGTCTTTGACATTGAAAACACGAATTATTCGTCAGTTTAAATCAACATTGATGTTGTAATCTTACCGGGAAAAGATGGGCTTCTGATAACCAATATTTAAGACAAAATAAACATTTTAAAATTGGTACACGTATTATGTATCATAATGCATTTCAGCGCCATTTGTAATAAGGGACTTGAAGAATGAGGCTAAATAGTTTATATTCCACAAGTCATGTCAAACGGTGACGCCATATTCTTATCTGGAGAGCATGCACAATAAATACCATCGGTGTAAACTTGAATAAGCAGATGCTAGAGATTGCCATTCGAATGAGACTTCTGGCATATTTCGCGAAACATAACTGATTTGAAATTAGAGTAAAAACGGAAACGATTGAATGTAAATCAGGGGCCTGTTTCACGAAATTTTAACTAAGATAAAATCCAAATTTTAGTAATTTGATTGGATAATATTAGATTGATTTTAGTGCTTAGCCAATCAAAATTGAAGTATCTACTAAAATTTGGATTTTATCTTTAGTTAAAATTTCGCGAAACAGGGCCCAGTTTATATACATTCATATTACATTGTTATATGCGTTGCGACCCATTTGTGTCAATTTCTAGATCCCAAATATTAGCTATTAAGTTCCTTTAACTTTAGCCTCAAGAACTTCTGCAGGATATTTCAAAGAGATCAAGGGCTATAACTCCGGCAATAGTTATCGAAAATAGTTGAAAATCAATAGGCTTTTTCGTCTCAAGACCTTTAACAGTGTGTATCAATTTAAAGTCAATCGGATATTAATTTAAGCCTCTAGAGTGTCCACAAATATTTCAAAGCGATGAAGGGCCATAACTCTGGCAGTAATTATCGGAAATCGTTGGAAATCAATAGGTTTCTGCATCTAATGAACTAAAACACTGTGTATAAATATAAAGTCAATCGGATATTAACTTTAGCCTCTAGAGCATCAACATGATATTTCAAAGATATCAAGGGCCATAACTCTGGCAGTAACTATTGTAAATAGCTAAAAATCGATAGGATTCTTCATCTCATGAACGCCGGACGGATGAACAGACTGGGGCGACGACAATATATGACCACATTGCAATGTGGGTGTAAAAAAATCAATACTTGTAAACTCTGTGTATAAATTGAATAACTTTGGCCTGTAGGGCATCTGCACAATTTTTTCGAAGTAATCTTATAATTTAACAAAAGTAAAAAATTTCAGTAAATGCCCCCCAAAACAGCATTTATAATTGTGTCCAGCGATTATGCTGGGTTTATTATAAAGCATGGGTGATAGACCACACAGGTCATTTTCTCAAACAAAATATCATGACCGGTGATAAGGTTAACACAACCCATTAACCCATTAAATTTGTGCTTGCAGTTATTTAATCTTTTACAGTATTTGAATTAGTCCCATATTGTTAGTCAATCTGTCTAGTTAAAAGCTTATTAATCAACCACTATTTGGAAGAGACAAAACTGATTGCTTGTTGGAGATGATCACTTAATACAACACATTCAAACTTTTTGTGGCCTGTAAAAATAACAGATTCTCATTGCATATAAATGTTTTGCAGTTTTACTTACTATGAAGGCTTCTTTTTGAGTATTGCATACCAACATTATTCAGAGTTATGACCAGATCAGCAGGAACCATGTCTTCGTATTTCCGTCTCTCAATAAGAGAAGCTCTATAATACTTCATAGCGTACTCATCATTTCCAGCTTTAATATAAAAGATTGTAGCTGAAATTATTTATCTATAATAATACTAACCACTAACCTACGCTACTGTTTATCATTGCGTTTCCTAAAAGTAGAATCAGCATGTTACTGGTTTAGTTCAAACAAACATTTTCCAGAGACAAAATTCTTACTGAATAAATGGGTTATACATTAGCATTTCTATCTGCCATTTTTCATTTCCATCCAGATATCATCCACACAAGCTACATATATTAGCTACCACTGATATCCATATCTATTTTTGATAACAATGCTATAATGGTTTCTGATATGTTGTTATTGTTTGTCTATATATACACATTTGCTTGAAAACATTGAGAAAATACTCTTTGAAACTTCGCCAAAATAAATTTGTAATTGTTCTTCCATAGTTTTATGCCTTAGTTCATTTCCTTTTTATAGCCTCAGTGGTAGCTTACTATTTGTTTTTTTTAGAACCAAGGTCATAATACTATTAGCTAATAAAAATTTAATGCCATAGTTTATTCCCCTTATATAGCCTCAGGTGTAGCTTACATTGTATTTGTTTTTTTAGAAACACAGTCATATTAGCTAATAAAATGAGTAAACAATTACTTACATCTCTCATACAAAATACCTAAACTATTGATCATAATAGCTATAGATAGATGGGACGGGGTATATTTATACGCTAAATCTAAAGTTTCAAACAGGAGCTCTTCAGCCTTTTTGAAGTTTCCTGTAATAGAAATTAGAATTATGAAAGACAAATATGGTAGTCTTTACAATTCAATTTAATTAACTTATACAACTTGCAGTGATTTTTCAGCATTATAGGTATTATAATCCGAAAGCTGCTTATCCTTCCTTCAACTGTTGTTATGTTTTTAACTATTGTTACATAAGACAGCGTTAATTTGGTAATGACTACTTCACACCACAGTTTTTATATATAGGAACATGGTATTTATTTCCATATGATAACGAATATAATTTCCAAAGAAACATTTAAAACAAAAGAACTGCTTACCGAGGAATATTTGCTGTATGGCTATGAGAGACCTAACTGCTATTATCTGATTGGTTAAACCAATATTCAACTCCATTTCATTAGCTAGTTCCAAGGCATTTGTGCAACAACTGTAAAATTTTGAATGTATTAAAACAATGAACAATTAAGAATTACTGAATTTATGCTATGTTGTGTTTTGTCACAAGGATGCACTTGTCTTTATTCACTTGATAAACACAACACCAAACTGGCCTAAATTCAGTAAATGTGTCTTTATAAAACGATTCTTTTCTTTTAATTAGTGGTTGTAAATCTGAAGGGTGAGGACATTTTCATATGTACATGAATTTGGATAATTAGCTTTAGACAAGCATCACATACTGCCATTAAAACATGTCTGAAGATTTGATCTTTTCAGTTTGAATTTTATTCACGTATATCAATTTGAGAAGATTATATATGCCTCTTTAATTATTTACACATACTTAGATAATAATATACACAAAAAAATACTTGCTTTAAGGCTTCTTGATAATAACCTCTTTTGTAGTAATTGAAACCCATATCCCTCTTCAGATCTATCAAAATACGACTGGCTCCACAGTCTTTTAAAACGTCAAGAGCATCATTAAGCAGAGCCATGGCCTTTTCTAGATCATCACCTACAGTTTAATATATCAGACATTTTCAGAATAAACTCAGTATCTATACATTGAAAATATGGTTCCATTTACAATTTCAAGTAAAATGGGTATATAAAGCATCAGGGTCAAATATCATCTTACAAGTCGGTAAAATTATCAAAACTGAGCTTCATCAACCAGTAGGTCGCATCATAATGGACAAATCTAAAGAGGATAAAAACAGGCAATTTTGTTCTTTTACTATATATGACAACGATAGCAAAATGGGGTTTAGTGTCCACACTCGACACAAATTAGATCATTTCAGGACTAATATAATATGGTACAATTTTATCTAAACAATCCAATTGTAAGGGGTCTTTAGCAGTGAGAAGAAACTGGAATTCCCGGTGAAATCTCATGTGGTTGGGTTGACGACCCTACTCCTACAATCTAATGTGCACGCTTTAGATCACTTGACCCCCACCCCTAACTATTTCAGTAACTTTAACCTATATCAGTAGATATCTTATTGGTTGTTCTTTCCAATAGACCTAAACAGCTAACTTTACAGTAAATAAATAAGTGATTCCCAAAATTACCCATGTAAAGTTTTTAACTTCCGTTCCCTAACTTACCTTTGGTGTATGTTATAGCCCTCCCTAAACCAGCTCGTAAAACCGCTATATTGTTAGAAGACCCATATATTTCAGATACATTCACCATTGTCTGGTAAAATAAAAGAGCTTCTTCAGGAAAACATTTCACCAAGAGATTACTGGCTCCAACTGCTACCTGTATAGGCAATTAAGTGTAAGAATATTATATTGACTAATATCTAAGGCCATGTAATATCTAAGGCTCTGTCCCTGGGGGTCGAGGTATGCACCAAAATCAATAGTTGCCACCCTTAGGCTATAGGGAATACATATGCCAAGTTCCAAGCTGATTCATTCAAAAGTGCTTCCTGTATACGATAAACATAAAAATTGGGCGTGGCTCTGCCCCTTGGGGTCAGGACATAGCCCAAAATCAATAGTTGCCGTCCTTAGGCTATTAGGAATATTTATGCCAAGTTCCAAGACAATCCATTAAGAATTGTGGCCTGTAGGAAATACACAGACACACAAAGAAAACGTGGGTGTGGCTCTATCCCTGGGGGCCAGATATTCACCAAAAAATAATAAGGATCATCCTTAGGGTATAAGGAATAAGTATGAAAAGTTCTTAAGACAATTGTTTAAGAATTGCGGCCTGTAGGTGACACATAGACACACAAAAAGAAAATGGGTGTCGCTCTGACCCTGGGGGTTGGGCATGCACCACAAACAATAGGGATGTTCCTTAAGGCATAAGGAATAAGTATCCAAAGTTTCAAGATGATACGTTAAGAAATGGGACCTGTAGAAAGAAACAAATACAAGAAATGGGCGTGGCTCAGCACCTAGGGGTCGGGCATGCCCCAAAAACAATAGGGATCATCCTCAAGCTATAAGTAATAAGTATGTAAAGTTTCAAGATGATCAGTTAAGAATTGCGGCCTGTCAGCGAACCAGATACACACCCACACTCACACACATACACGGGCGATGGCAATATGATCTGGTCAATAAAAATCATTTACATTGAAACTAATACGGGTGGAGATTTGGCATTTTTAAAATGACATATACCAGTAGATTAGGGAAGAGGCTAAACATATGCAACGAAATACCTCCCCTACACTAGGCACTTCCCATTCACAGATTAAGTGCGAGTATTTTTTAAGCATCTATAATTCTCTTTGATTTTAGCCTTATTTGGTAACAGAAAAGGGTTGGTTTATTTTTCCTGTGCTGATCCTACATCATTCAACCACTTCTCTCCTAAATGTGTAATGAAGCTGAGCTATATGCTCTCCTTAAAAAAACTGGTAGTCCTTACAGTTTAATTCCCTGTCTCTGAACCTGTCGTTGTCCCTTTTTATATACACAAAAAGATAAAATTTAGGTACATGAAAAAAAAAAAACATAAATCTTACCTTCAAAAAGGCCTCGAAAGTTTTGTCTGTACAATGAATGGCCTCCTTTAATACTTGTTCCAAATTTAACCAATCATCACGCAAATAGCCGTACACAGTTTGTTGTGATGTAATAAACATCTCATTATTTGCTCGGGATAGAACATCTCCAAAGAACGTCACAAACTTTAGACGTGCTACATCATCATAGGTGACTCGATGTACTAACACATTTCTTACATATGATTCAATATTTGGCACCAAACACATGCGCAAAGTACCATTTGAACTTATGGTGCTGATGATTGAATTCTGTTTCAAAGAAATCAGATCATGTTTGACTTGTGGTTCTTTATTATCAGTGTCTGTGCCAAGAACAGCTGTAACACTGTCCATCCCAAACGAACCTCTAAAGATGGACAAGTCTATAACCTTCTTTTTTAAGTAATCACTCAACCCTTCAATTAAATCAAGTGATTGTACACTGGTACCTGATTGGTTGTCGCCATGAATTCTCTTTGATCGACGTTCATCATGAAGATACCAATCTAAATATTTGGCACTAATTGCCATATCAGCATTGGCTTTGATGCAGCAGGCGGCATCAAGCACATAAGGTGGTAATCCATAACATCTTTCTGTGACAGTTTTTATAAATGGTTGAATGTCAAATCCACGTAAAAGATCTTGTAGCAGGAGCCGCACGTCACTTTCATCCAGTGGACTAACCATGATATCCTTACTACAACAATCAAAATCATATCTGATTTGTGAAGTCACCATGATGTTTATATTTTGACATTCGTTGAGAAGTTTCAACACAAATCCTTCAAATTTTTTTCCAGACAAAATACATGGAAAATTTAATTTTTCACAGTTTGTAAAAAGCAAATTGGAGACTAGATTGTAAGAAGCATCTTTAAATTCCTTGAAAATGAAATGTTCTTCCATTATTTGAGGTTTATCCTTGAAGCAAGTCTGCACAAAGCGTTGCAAGAAATGTTCCCAGGAACATATGTCTGAACATGGCACTTGTAAGACCTTCAGTTCTTCCTGTTCATGTTTCAATTCAAGCAATACCTAGAGGGAATAACATCAGTAGTTTAGAATGTACTTAAATATAGACAATACATATTGTATTAGCAAAAAAGTCTGAATAACCTCAAAAAGTCATTAAGCCTCTACTTAGCTTAAGCAGACCAGCAGTTGTCATGCAAGGTAGACTCACATTTTGCAAGTGATGGACAGAGAACAGCAATCAGGGGCCATAATCCAAAAAGTTACAGTCCAATACAGAGTTGCCATTCTGTTGGGCAGTTTCAGTTCAATATTCACAAAATTCTAACTCGGCTGTCATTATGGTGTAAAGGTGATGCATATAAACGTTTTTTTAAATCGGATAAAAATTACAAAATTCAAACTCAGTTGTCATTATGGCGTAACAGTGATGCATATAAACGTTTTTTTTCAAATTGGATAAAAATTGTAGTATATAGATTATAGAGTAATTTGTTATAGGAAAGATTTGATTTTAATGCAATTGATATAATTAAAAATATCCTCATTGATCTTAAAGGAGCTAACCTTTTACTCAATATTTTTTATAACATTTGAAATTAAATTTGAACAATCAGGGGCCATAATCAAGATCTTTGTAAAATAAACATAAATTTAAAGTTTCATCAAAATCAGATCAAAATAATTGCTTGTCTCTTCTTAACATAAGCAGAAAATGCTCATCTTCGAACTTCATCAAGGCATTAACCTAATAAACACCCACACCAATTAGCTCAATTAGAAGGAGAGTTATTGTGTTCCACAGAAAGACAGGCAGAGGGACAGACCCCTCTGGGAATAAACGTACGGAACATATTACTTAATTGCATGTTTACTTTTATGTAAAGCATCGAGCAAATCAAACTGCTTATCTATATTTAGCCTGAGCAGAATATGCTCATGATTGAGCTTAGTTAAGGTTTTGATGTAGTGAAGCTGTAGGCCTATACACCAAATTCCTTATCCTTATTGGAAAATGTTATTCATGGAAGTCAGTCAAAACACTGACATAATACTTTGTGTTAATCCTCCAAACCACTTATATTCACTGTATCTATATATAATACAGTACACCATTCACATGCATGTACACACTTTAAAATAATTATTTCATATTGATCTCTGACTCATCACTTCACTATTTCTTTCACATTAATAGTCAATAAACTTTATGTATTACTCACCTGACGTGCAAGTCTACTTTTCCCTACCATGGTTTGACCATGAAGTTGTATTAGTTTATGTTGTCCACTTAATAATATAGTCTTAATTGATTCTCGTTCAGTCCGTCGTCCAACGAATTGGATCATTTCACTTTCGTCTTCAAGACTCATTTTTTGTGTCTCGTATTCCTCAATATCTACAAAATGTATATATACATTATGATACAACTATACTATACAACAAATCACACACAATATATGACATCTGGTCTAGATATAACAATATTAATACAGGGACAGACTGAGAAGGAATCTGCCAGTATGGTAGACTCGGGGACCCCATAAGAAGTTAATGTTCGGACATAGTTTGGGAACCCATTTTAGTCTTGAGATTACATTGCTTTTGATGAATTGGTAAGGTGACTACACATTAAATTTGTGTATAAGCTAGAAACTTTAGGATATACTCTAAAAAGCACCATTTACATTCAGTTTTTTTTTTTTTAAAAATCCCCTTGCCCCTACTAAAGGTGGTGTCTCACAGGGCTCGTCTCGGGGCCTTCATGCACCCAGTCCATCCCTGTATTAATATATAATTAAATACTAAAAACTTTCATTTCATTTTGTAAAAACAGACTAGTTGAGCTTGATCAAAAAAGCAAGTGAACAATTGCAAGCAGTTAAATTCATAAATAGTATTCAAACTTTTTTCAAAGCTAACATCTATGATTTAAATCCATCCAAGATACTGTAACAAATAATTTGAATAAGTTATCCAAACCAACACAATATCAATGCTGGTGGTAACTAAAAAAAAGTCTATCCTGTATTGTACAATATAGCATGTGACACAGAGAAAATAAATATTTTTCTATTCTGCACTTGTATATTGAACTAGATTATGACCAATCGTCTACATCAACTCTTAAAATATGTGCGGGATATTGTTTGTATTTTAAGTTGTTTAATAGTCTTGAACTAAATATTGTGTAATACACTGAAACTACAAGCTAACACCCTCTTGCAGTATCAATATATTACTTAATGTCTTACTTACGACCACTAAACCACACTTACCATTTGGGTTGACATATACATATAATCTGACAGGTGTAAGAGGTTCACAAAACAATTTTTAAGATAATACTTAATATTGTATTTCTCAAAGCACAAAAAAACAATTTTACGATAACATTGTATTTCTTAAAGCACAGAACAGAATAGTATGACATAAAAGCTATAATAGGTAACTTATACATATACTGAAACACGGATCTTATAATAACATAATGTCACCGCGAGGTACAGATCTCACTTGCTTTTTGCAAGTCAAGCACAGCCAACTTTTCAAAAGAAACGATTATTTTCCATCCTGCCCGAAATCAAAAAATAAAATTGTATATGTTCACAACTAAAACTCTGATATACAAGTACCTGTATTAAACCACAGTTCTTAAAAATAACATGTATCATCTTGCCCACGAATGCACCAATATTTATAGCTCAGTGGGTTTAACACACCAATATATATTTGACATAACAATATCGTGACATACTTAAATATTTTTCAGACTTTTCAATTTTAAAATATTATCACATCTGCACCCATAAGCTATTCAGGTATAATTTGATCATGCGTGCAAGGCTATACTTAACAAAATTACCTTGTACTCCAATTCACCTTGTATTTAGTTCCACGTATATATTTTTTAATCCACTGAATTTGTGTTGTGTAAAATTAAAAGAGGAACATATTCAATATTAATTAACTGTTATGCAGGTGACTCATTATAACTTGACTCAAACAAGAATTAGCTGACAATACAGGAAAGAAAACAAGGGTGTAAAGAGACATTTTACAAAATAACAAAACGTCCTAGTGTGGCTGGTAGTTCTCTTTTGATTTATCTTTGGTTGGACAAAATCAGACTTCTTCTGAAGTCTCTAGTTTGTATCGGTTCTTTCAGAATACATGTGATATTTTTAAACATGTACCGGATGTGTCACCATTTTTAGCTTTAACAAACATGCCAATTTTAATTCAACCAGATGTCTCAATAAAGAACTAATATCAGATACCCATTTTTTTTATATTTATTGTGCGGAAAATTAGATATCAGGAAAATTTGTAAGGAAAAAATCCAAATACGGAATGCTATATGATCAATGGTACTATCAATTATTAACAGGATGGGAGTAAATGAAATTAGGGTTTTTCAATGCAATTAGGTTATTTCAGGACTAACGTATGGTAATTCCTTTTTTCAATAATTCAACAATGTGCTGAAATCTTTAGCAGCCACAGGAACTTAGAAAATCCAAAGAAAACCAAGCGTATTATGCAGACATGCCTACTCCTTATAGGCTTCAATGTATGTGATTGACCACACAGCTTACATACATGACAGACTTTATGATCCGATCACCCAAACTCTTCAAACAGAATAAATGTGCAATTTGTAATGTTAGTTCATTTATTTATATGTTTGATATTCGTTTAGATTATAGGCCTACTTACCAAAACAATACAATACATTTATATCTTGGACTAAGGTTTTTTTTCACATTCAGTTATCCAAGAACACTATTATAATATATTTTATCTGTCTAGACTGTACCTACTGATATGCATAAGTTATGAATAAGTCAAAATGACCCATACTCATCTTTCTCATTTATAAAAAGTAAATGAGGAAGTACTGAAACAGACATTCTAGCATCCTGTTTTGTGTAAACAAACAACAAATATCACCACATATTATTAATTAATAATATTCATATAAAATATAAAAAATTTGGGTTTTTTTTTGAAGGAGTAGTCCTAGATCTGAAGACACCATAAATGACTGTTCTTATGTATGTAAAGATATATCTAATGCCAAAATATGATGAAGTAGCCTATTTATTTAATCTGAAAGTTTTAAAACAAATTATTTAACCATTTGGAAGTGATCACTATAGATTGGCTTAACTTATGAAACTGTATTCTTCAATATTTTAAAGGGACAATAACACTCTTGCTGGCTTGACAGCTCCAGAAAATAAAAAAATAGCCTTATTCTAAGTACTAGATGTGTTAGTGTCCTACCTGTTGTGTAAATTATCCATTAAATCCTATTTTACTTGTCCAGAGGGTTCAAAAATATTTTTAAATCCAAGTCACATTTAAACAGCTTTACGTCAGGCTTACAATCAAGGTTACAATTGTAGCACATCAATGCATGGCATTTGCTTGTTTTTCATATCTATCCCAACCAAAGGTCTAGTTTGCCTTTGAATTTTATGGTTGGTGTATGTATAAGACATATATAAAGATTGGCCATGCAATTAGGCCCAATTATCCAGGCAATTTATATTCAAACGTAACTAAGAAATTGTTTTGTCGATAATTGTCATTGAACTGCAAAGCATGACAAATCACAAGATCCATAAATTCGACAAAGCCCCTTTAAGAAATGTTGATCATTTCATGTTCATGACCTTGGCTATTGATCGAAAGAGAAATATAAAATATAAATTTCCCAAACACTCAGTCTTTTTCAAAATTTGTGAGGGGAAATGGGCAAGTAATTTAATTGGTCGAGTAGATACTTTTTATCCATGAGAAACAAAACCTTTATTGACAATAATTTAGGCAAGTTTTTAAAAGTTTAAATGAGGGCATTTTCAACAAATAACAAAACAATGTATGCACATGTACAGCAGCTTAGTTTTTATTCTTTTGTAGGTAACAGGACCATTTACGAAATACTAAAAACTTAACAGAAATAAATAAAATTTATTAGGCTCTACCTAATACAAACAAAGCATATACCATTCATGTTATCAGCAGGTTGTTTTGATTTTGTCAATTTTTGTGGGGGTCACAGTGGCTAAGTGGGTAAGACGCTTGCACGCTAGTCTTTGAGGTCGGGTGTTCGATCCCTGCATTGGCCGAGAAAGTTCATCCATATTTTCCGGTGTCGTTCCCCCTTGTCAGCGTTTCAGGACGGAGGGCCAGACAAGGACAGCTGTCTAGTCGTTCGGATGGGACAAAAAACCTAGGTCCCGTGTACATATTGGCGTGCACATAAAAGATCCCTTGACAGTTGGAATTTGATATAAGAGTAGGCCGTAGTGCCACTGTCCAGGCAAAATTTCCCTCATAGCACACTGTATGGCGCATGCCCATTTTCATTAACCCGTCTTCATTTTCATTTCATTTCATGTCTAATTTCATTAATTATGATAATGAGGATGTGCTAAAACTTACCGTCTTCATATTGGTTATCTTCAAGTTCTCTATTGTTTTGTAATGATAAAGTATTTTTAGGTCCAATCTGTATTCCACTGCAGTTCTTTATGTTGATGACGGGTGTCTTGAAACGTCTTTTCTTGGCAGACATACTAATAACGGATCCTGAAAAGGAACGAAACAGATTGATTAAAATAATTTTAATAACAAGAAATTATTATTATCATTTTTGCAGCCCCACCAATGATCAATATGAAATTAACGGCTTCACGTCAACAACACATGACCTAGTTATTGGTCTCATCCGACATTCTTCTTTGCCAGACCCTCCATCTGCATCCCTGACTGACATGGGGAAACCATGCTGGAAAACCCTGTATTACATCATCTAGTCCATACTTAGTTTATTTACCATCTGAATAGTGCACTGCTCAAGACAATATTTCTGTTTGCCAATGAACGATTCTGACTTTTTATTCTGTGACTAAAGCTGAACATGGTTGGAATGGCATCTGGTTTTAAACTTTTTTTTTTTAAAAAACTAGGTGTAGCCCCAACAATTCACCACGGAAAAGTCGCAAGTCCTGCCTTAATTATCACTGAACTTAAATTTTTTGATTTTATGACCGGTATCAATGTACAGCAACTATGGAATTGCTCTGTACCTTTCGACTGGTCTTATGTTTGGAGTTGGCAATTTTAAAATTGGTCACTTTACGATTTTACCGGTCTTATTTAAACACCCAAAAGCTACACACTCAGACATGTCATGTGCATTCTGACGTGAACAGTTTGTCAACGTAACTATTAATCTTAATTTTGATTGGTTGAGAATCATCGATGGGTGGGAACATGGCCTCGGCCATTGTAGTGACAATCATTAAATAAAATAAGCCTTTTTGTTCTTTAAACTTTAATAATTTATTAATTTTTCAAATCAGAAGTCATTTTAATAAAGTATTTATTATCATTAAGCAAAATAACCTGCTTTGGTGAGTTTTTTCTTTAAGTTAGAATCTCTGTTTTAACCAACAATTCTTTGAAATGAAATAGGGTTTAATCATTAAACTTTAATGTCCTATTTTTCAGCACCGACTGGGCTAATGAAGATAGTATTTTTATCAAAAAATCAGAAAATTCGTATAGAAAATGTTTTGATCAAAATGTGTCCGTTCCAACCAAAGTGTGTATGTTCTGACAAAAATGTGTCCGTTTAAACAGAAATTTGTCAGTTTGGACAAAAGTGTGTTCATTTTGACCAATGTGAATTTCGGATATTTTGGTTTATGGCTGTTTTGACCACATCCTTCTTGGAATCCGCATGTTAGCTTTCACCAGATCAAGCTATAGAGGAAATATACAAACACGTTATACTGACCTACGTGGAGTGCTTGATTACGATTGCTCAAATATTACAAAAGAAAGCAGGAGATAGGGTCACGATCTTTATTATATGTACTTCCTATTACACTTAAATCATTTTCAAGTAGACAAATGAAATTGTTTTTATGGGGAAGTAAACCACATGATAATGAATCTTTCTCTTCCAAATGTATTATCCACCCTTTTTTCTTATGTCGTTATTCTGAAGTTTATAGTTGGAAATTTTAATGTATTGTGTGCTAATTATATAACTTGAATCTAGAATTTGATTTTTCCTGGTTATTACAAATATCACATTTTCAAATAGAAACCAGCGGTTGCCATGTAAGATATGCCAATATTTTGCAAGAGATGGAGAGAGAACAAGCTAAAAAAATGTGAGCTTTTGTAGTCAGGCACCATAATCCAGGAAGTTACGGTTCGATATGCACGAATATCAAGAGGGACCGAGATATCTTGGATATAAACATATATTATAAGTTTCATCAAGATCAGATAAAAATTGTGACTTCTAGAGGGTCCACAACCTTGGTACGACATACTTTTACACTATTTGCATGCAAGTAGCAGACATTTTGTCAGGCATTTACGGTGATTTTATTAAGGTGTAACAGTGATATATTCAAACATTTTTTTAAATCAAATAAAAAATTGTGTAGCACCATAGGTCTTTCTGTCTGACGTGGAGAGCGGACATTGTCAAACCGGTTGCCACATCCTACATACGACCCATGCATCTATTCTTACTTCATATTTCTGTAGCCTTGTGATCGTCTAGAATTTGTTTCTAGCTGTCTTTACTTCTGCTTCACGTTGTGTATTTACTTCTTCCAGTTTCTTAAGACATTTGTCTTACCAGGAATAATAATGCATAGTTCGCTTCTACATATTTTATATATATATATAGCTGAATACAGGTATACAAGCATAGCACAAATTGCAATACTATATAGCTAAAACCACTTCTCCACCCTATCCAGCCTCTCGGCTGTCTATGAACTCAGATGTACCCTCCATCTCTGGAATCCAATGCAAGTCTGACTTAAAACTTTAATATGATTTATTTTATAAGACTCCTGCAGATCACGCACAGAAAGCCTGTTCATGGCCCTCAACCTGTGCAATTAACGATATGATTGGTTACTTTAACCCAAATGATGCAATTAGAATAATTCCACTCACGTGTAATTCTGGTGGTAAATGAGTGACATATGTTTTCGATAAATAGTTCTTTTTTATGTATCAACTGTCAATTACAGACTAAGTTGATTTAGTACACACTATATATGTGAATATGTTTGAATTTTTCATACTTGCCAAAGATATTAATTAATGAAATATAAAGGCATCTTATTTCCCTATTCCTTGTCTATAAATTTAAAAACAATGTCGCAACGACGATAGTGCTACAATTG